CTCCAGTCCCTTCCCCAGCCTCGTTGCTCTTCTCTGCCCCTGCTCCAGCCCCTCCATGTCCTTGCTGAGCTGAGGGCCCAGAGCTGGACACAGCACTCCAGGGGTGGCCTCCCAGGGACAGAATCCCTTCCCTGCTCCTGCTGCCACCCTGTCCCTGAGCCAGGCCAGGATCCATTGGCCTTCTTGGCCACCTGAGCACCCCTGGGCTTGTGTCCCATTGCTGTCAATCCACACCCCCAGGTCCCTCTCTCTCCAACCTCTCTTCCCCACCTGCAGAGCTCTGTGGAATTATTGTGGCCCAAGTGGAGGACCCCCCCACTTGGCCTTGTTGAACCTCCCACCGTTGGGCTTGGTGGGATGTCAGCGTGGTCAGCAGAACCCTCCAGGAGAGGACAACCCGCTGGTGGTTTCTCCTGATGGACGTCCCCCATCTCTTATCCTTCTCTCTCCTCGCAGGTGGAGGATGTCTACTCGCTGGTGCACCAGACCATGACCCAGCCCCACGTGAAGGACTACGTTCCCTTCTCCTGGACCACCATGGTGCACGTCAAGTCGGAGCATTTCAAAGCCCTCTCCCACTACTTCGCTGCCATCGCCCTCTGCGACTGCCCCGGTGAGTTCCCGCCTTGGGAGGAGCTCCCTGATCAGTTGGTTCCATGTGACAGCTTGGAATCTGGGGGAGAGGGGGAGGATTTCCAAAGAAAGGAGGCATGAGCAGATAGATAGATCCAAAATCCTGGAGGTTTTGGGATGCTCTGAGCTGGGGATCTTCTTCATCCACTCAGCGATTCCTGCCCAGGGCAGATTCCCCCCCCCCCTCCCCATTTCTGGTTTCCACAGGGAAAAGTCCTCCTTAAGAAAGGGAGCAAAAAGGTGTCACCTGCTGTCCCCTTTGGGACTGGGGGCTAAGCAGGGGTTCACCTGCCTGCTGCCCACACCTGTGTCCTCAACCCACCACCCTTTGAGTCACCTCCTGTTGGAAGCTCCAAAAACTAAAAAGAACCCCCAAAATATCTTGAATTCAATTCCCAACCTCTCATGGATGGATGAGGGAGCCTGAGGGCGGTGGGGTGCTGGCAGCAGGGGTCCACGTGGCCGTGCTGGGCTGGGGTGTCTCCCGTGGAATCAGCTGGAGTCCGGACGCGGGACGTGCCCCCTCATCTCCGTCTGCGTCATCATCGCCGACACCCTGCGAGCGATTCTGGGACAAGCAGAAGCTCTGGGGGTGGGCAGCAGATGGACACCCTGACCTTTGGTGCCACCTCATCGCCTGGTGGGTGGCTGAGGAGGCTTTTTTTTTTTTTTTGCCAAAACCGGTGCTGTGCCCGTGACGCCGGTGGCTGCCAGACTGTCCTGGCACCCTCCCCCGCTCCAGAGTCTGCCCAGAATCCTCTCCCCGGGCTTGTGGCAGGGGGGGTGTTGCAGATGGATTGATGGAGGAGGCGGGAGAGAGTTGGGATCCTGTGGTGCTGGAACAGCCTGAAGGCTGGAGAAGCAGGAGAGGATGATGATGGAGATGGGTTTGGGTGGGGTCACAAAGCATGGGGAAAACCTTTCCCCTAAAATTTCGAGGCTGTTTGGTGTCCTGGTGAATTAAAGGCGCTGAGGGAAGCAGCAATCTGCAGGAAATGCCTAATTTGGGGAATTTTTTTATTGCCTGCTGTTGGGATCTGCCCCTCCCTGACCTCCCTGTCAGAATAACAAATCTTTTGCTTCCGTAACCAGCTGGCAACAAACTCCTTACTCTGCAGATTAATCCCCCAGGGAATGCTGACATGGCAAGAGCTGGCACAGGCAGAGCTCCCAGCCCTGGAGCTGCCACTTCCCAACCCTCTGGATGCCGATGCCAGGCTGCTCACCGGGCTTTTGGGATCCTCTGTTTGACCCAGGAAAGCTCCCTGGAATTTTTGGGTTGCTTCTTCTCACACTTTATGCCCCGGGAAGGGGATCCCTGAGAGCCAGAGGGGATTAGGAACAGCTTTGGCTGGAAATCAGGATTTAAGGAGCCCAGTGTGGAGCTTGGAGAGCCTGGGAGAGCTGTATCCATGTATCCATGTCCATGTCTCCATGGAAAAACCCCAGGGTTGCACTGTGAGCTCTGTGCCTGTGCAGGGTTCCCTGGCACAGCAGGGAGGGCTCAGCTCCCTAATTAATTAATTAATTAATTACACTTTAATCAGCCTGTTTTTGAGTCACAGGCTGGGAGAGCTGGGAATGTTCACCTGGAGAAGGGGAGGATCCAGGGAGAACCTGGAGCCCCTTCCAGCTCCTAAAGGGGCTCCAGGAGAGTTGGAGAGGGACTGGGGACAAGGGATGGAGGGACAGGACACAGGGAATGGCTTCCCACTGCCAGAGGGTTAGATGGGATATTGGGAAGGAATTCTTGGCTGGGAGGGTGGGGAGGAGCTGGAATGGGATTCCCAGAGAAGCTGTGACTGCCCCTGGATCCCTGGAAGTGTCCAAGGCCAGATTGGAGCAACCTGGGCTAGTGAAAAGTGTCCCTGCCCATGGCAGGGGGTGGAACTGGATGATCTTCCAGGTCCCTTCCAAGCCAAACCATTCCCTGATTCTCTGGTTTGTCCAGGTGGAGAAAAGCCAGGGCTCCCTATTTCCAATCTGCTTCCAGATGGGAGCAAAGGAAGGAGGGAGGCAAAAGAGCCGGATATTGTGCTGTGCCCAGGACAAATCCTGCCCTTAATCCCAAATCCTGGGGGGAGTTCTCACTGGGATAGCTCATCCCTGTGCCCATCAGTGATGTCCTGGTTGTCCCAGGCTTTGGCTGGACAAGACGAAGGCGCTGCTGAAGTTATTGAATGTGGTCGTGGCTTCCTTGTCCCCACTGCCAGGGTGGCCTGGGTGGCCCTGACCTCTCCCTGAGCCAATTCCCACCCTTTTCCTTCCCACAGTGGCCTCGGAATCTGAGCTTCCAGAGCAGGAGAAGGCCTTCATGCAGTTCCACCTCACCATGCCGGAGGGGCCATCGCTCCGTGTCCTGCTGCAGGATCCCGA